GTTTTTATTCCTGAGTAATGTCTTGGCTATTCAAGGTTTTTTCTGATTCCATATAAAATGAAGTATTATTTTTTCAAGATCTTTAAAATAAGACAGTGGAACTTTAATAGGGATTGCATTAAAATTATATATTGCTTTGGGTAATACGGACATTTTAACAATGTTGATTCTTCCCAGCCAGGAGCATAGTGTATTTTTCCATTTGATAACATTTTCAGCTATTTCTATTCTTAGAGTTTCATAGTTCTCTTTATAGAGATCTTTCACGTCCTTTGTTAGGTAAACTCCCAAATATTTCATCTTCTTTGGCACTACTGTAAAGCCATCTATAGCAAACCCACTGCCAGTATTGTACTGAATGGAGTTAAATTGAAATCATTTCCACTCAGATCAGGAACCAGGCAAGGTTACCCATTGTCTCCACTGCTCTTTAACACTGTAATGGAAGTTTTAGCCATCGCAATTAGGGAAGAAAAGGTGATTAAGGGCATCTATATAGGGTCAGAAGAGATTAAACTTTCACTTTTTGCAGATGATATGATTGTGTATCTGGAAAACACCAGGGATTCAACTACTAGAAGTGATCAAAGGAATACAGCAGCGTCTCAGGTTACAAAATCAACACTCATAATCTGTAGCCTTTATATATACCAACAGCATCCAAGCTGAAAAAAACAGTCAAGGACTCTATTCTGTTCACAATTGTAAATCATTTTTAAGAACACTCTTTCCACTCACTTTATTCAAGTGCTGTGTGAGCTCCCTTTCGTAGGCATGACAACTATCTTTAGGGCTGGAGAACCTTCTTCCATGTGATTTTTTACTGTAGGGAACAGGAAATAATCACGTGGGACCAGGTCAGTAACATAGTGTGGGTGAGCGGTAAGTTTCAGCCCTGTGGACTCCAGGAACTGAATGGCGATGTTGGCTGTGTGGGCAGACGCACTATCATGGTACAAGGTGGTCCCTGCTGCCTTTGGCCACTGTTCTCAAAGCTTCCCCAAAACTCTAGGTAGGCATACTGCTGTGTCCTACTGAGCAGTAACAGTGCTTTGTTCCTCCAGAGGAACAGTGGCAACAAGGCCACTTTTGAAGAAAGTTGCCACCATTTTCTTTCCAGCACTTGAGAGCTGCTTCACTTTTGTTGGTGGATTTTCATCAGGAAGAAAATCTACCCTGTTAACTGACACTTACTCTCTGGATGAAACTGGTAAGTCCAGGTTTCATCTCCAGTAGTGATGTCAGAAACACGTCTGGACTCGCCCCCTTGGATCCGACCAGCATTTCTTCACACTGTTCAACACGGATGCCCTTCTGTTCATCTGTCAAGGTGTGAGGCACCATTGGGATGAAATGGCTCTGACTCAAAGATAATAGTGCAGGATTTTTCTACTGCCAGTGACCCATCTGTACTGTGCTTCAATGTCCTTAAATGCTACTTGATTGTTTTCAGGAACCATTTTATTCCACAGCCGTGAGGTTTTCCTCAGTCACCGGACACCTGTACCTCTCCTTATCTTTTGGTAAGGTTCCAACTCTTCTAAGTTCTTACAACCACTGAAAAATTGTCTCCTAGGAAGGAGTAAAGTCCCCCAAAGCCCACTGCAAACACTCAAGCCTTTGAGACTCCTAAAAGTGAGTTAAACTTTTAAAATAGAAAATCACCGAGCAAAAGTGCCCTCTTTCCAGCCCCATAGCTATAGGGAACAGGAAATAATCGTGGACTGAATGCTGTGGACAGAAAGAGACAAGGCCCTCCCAGCAACGCCGATAAGCTGAGCAAGCTGAAACTTGCACGAGTGAATCAGAAAGGATGTTGCTGTCAACTAAGTGAAATAATGAGCCACAACACTGTCTGTCTCAACTCTTTCACACTGGAAGCTAGAAAGCAGATGCGTGAATGAAAATGATTTCAGAACCCCGGTTGCTCAAACCACGCTGGCCGTGGGGAAGCCAGCAAGCATCCCGTTTGTCTCTCAAACCCCCACCCCCCAAGGCTCAGTAACTGGCGCTGCTCATCCCAAAGCAGGTGTACAGATGGAGCTAGAGTGAGGGTGGGACAAAGCAGCAGTTACCTCCTGAGACATCTGAGGAGACTTTAGTTCACATGCACATGTACGGATAATACCTAATTTTAAAGTTGCTAAAGAGAATGGAGAGCTTCATGTTCACATGTTAGTAAAGCTTAGAATACCTTCCCTCTTTCCAGTAACCACTACTGCACAGAAGAATAGAGGTTTCTCCTCTAGAAAACTGTGAACAGCAGAACCTGAGGCAGAGCAGATGAGTTTAACACTCATCGGGCGAGCTACACTCTCAAGCAGGAGACCACTCCCAAGGGAGAGCACTTCCAGGTATAGAGCCGGGTGTCTCCAGCAAAACAGCAAAGCCAGATCGCCCACAGTGAAGGCCACCGGCAGACAAGCTCTGCCCACACACAAACTCCCAAAGAGCTTCTTAGTGTCCCACTCTAATACGTGAACAGCAAAAAGTCACCAGATAGTTGAAGAAAGCCTCTAACATGACAGAGGACACTGAAAGACACCACAGAGGACCCCAGGGAAACAGAGACAGAGGAGAAAGTAGATAAGGTTAAAAGAATGACAGTAGTAACCCTGGAGAAACTTCATCTCATGCATAAAGTGGGAACAGGATAGTATTCACACACACAGACACAGAGAGAAAACCAAAACAACCTGCTGAAACCATCAGAAATGTAAACCTTAGTAAGATAGGTCTGATAAGAGGAAACTGAAGAAATTTCTTAAAAAAACAAAAATGATATGAGAGAAAAGTTAGCAGAAGAGTCTAAGTCTAATATTTGAAGACTTAGATTTTTCTAAAACAGAAAAAAGGGAATAAAAGCATTAAGAAAATTTCTCAAAACTGAAGCTCATGAATTTCTTAAAGGGCCCACCTCCAATAGAAGAAAACTACTATACCAAGTCATATCATAAATTTTTTTTCTTATCACAAATTTCAAATCACAGATTAAAGAGGATACTAAAAGTTCCAGAAAGGGGGAAAAATGTACAAAAAGTCAGAAGAACAGGAATGACATACTTTGACCAGAAACACCAAAAACTAAAATACGATTAAAAGCAATGCCTTTAGGCTCGGCGCCTGTGGCTCAAGCAGCTAAGGAGCCAGCCACATACACCTGAGCTGGCAGGTTCGAATCCAGCCCAGACCCG